GTACTGCTCTGCAAGATGCCATGGCATTCACTGTGCTGATTTTCCACTGCCTGTTGTATTTTCTGGTTTACAASTWGGAGGATTGRCTCATCYGCTTCAGATRYTTYTTAGAAGATMAATTTTTTTAAGATGCTTATTAAAAAAAAGGGTTGCTTTCCATCTCTTGAATCATGGAATCCTTTACTTGCAAAGTTTTCTATACTCTAGGCTGTGGACYGATTCTGTCATGTCAATGACTTGTATAAAGTCATCACTGGGTTATTTTCCCATACATGCCCTGAAGACTTTTACCATAGTTTTGTTTCCACCTCCTCACCACAGGATGCTCAGCACTATGTGGTTAAACAGATGCAGAGCTTTATTAGACAGGGGTGAACACTGAAAAAAAAAAGAATGTGCTAGGAMCAGAAGGAGGTAAACCAAAGTGCAGCACTATATCGAACGTGCCACTTGCCTTGCACCTTCCAGTTCCAGGGCCATGCAAGTAGCTGGGATGATAACATTATCTGCTGACTGCACTGCTGATCAGAGCAGCCTCTCCCCTCCCAGCTCACCSTGTGCACTGATACAGAGTAAAACAGGAAACCTTTCCACACTAGAGCCCAAAATACACCACCAGCTTTTTTCTCCTTTTCTACCTGCAGGTTCTGCTAACTTGCAAAACAGAGTGGAGGCTCAGAGTCTGAGGGCCTCATCAATATTGTCAAATTAAACCACAGCAGGGAATGAACCATCATCATCTGGATCAATAAGGTGTTCAAGCATTTCAAGCCCACGACAATTACTGCTCTCCCAGCCATTCCCAGCCACAGTGCAGAGTCGAGGACCTAATCTGAGCTGKCCATCAGCAGGGAGCCTCCCTCTCTGGAATGAGCAGTATCACCTTAGCACAGATGCCAGCTTTTTTGTGTCRGCTGCCCTCTGTGCCTGGGAATGTCCCCAGGTATAATTAATTGACTGACATACAAGTAATCGATAACTATCCATGGTTGTTCAAAYGCCTGCTATCTCTATTGACCAAGATACTTGCTTCTTTCATCAGGCWGCCAATGTCACTTCAGTGGAGACAAGTTCAACCACAAACCTCTGGTGGGTCTCTAGAGAGCTAATGGTGATCATGGCCACCAATTGGACTCAACAATAAATTCCATATTTGAATCAGAGGGCAAAGCTTGTGCCTTGAAGAGGGAGAGGCTTACTCATCCCTGATGAATTCCACATTAACTTCTGTTGGCATTTCATTGCACATCTTTTGCTGTACCTCCTCCTTATCCTAACTGGAAGATTCACTATCAGCCCAAATATATTCTAAACTTACCAGGGAATTTAATTGATGCTTCATCCCCCATTTGTGATCCCTACTATTTCTCCACTTCTTACTAGAGCTTTGCATCAGAGCAAAATGTCCACCAGATCAGAAAGTACTTGTCCTCAGTGATAGACTTGCATCCATTGTGGGGAATCCATAGCAGCCTTCTAAAATATTTGTGCAGACAGGTGTGGGCTTTAAACCACTCACTTGGAAACACAACAAACTGCAATTTATATATATATAATTATAAGCAAATATATATTACAAATTGAATGCATAAACATTTTGCATTAATTAATATCGAATGCACAAGAAGCTATACAAATTGTGGACTTTTTTGCAGAAACTGTTTTTAAAAACACAACCCTTCACATCCACCCCAATCTCATCCTATTTCTGTGGCTTCTTGGAGAGTAGGAAAGTACCAAAACAGTAGTAGCCCTCAAAGGTGGAAAATACCTTCTGCTCCAGAAGGACCCACGTACAAGGTAAGGACCACTGTGCAGAGAAGTACAAGAATTTCAAGGACCTTATGTTGGTTTGTGCCGCAGGGAAAGATCACTTGGGCAGTTGCTGCAGTGATTTTCACACACAACCAAAATAGTTAGGTTAAATCCTCAACATTTATTTTCAGTTCCTAACRTTTTTTYCCTCTKGTTCYCCCAAYATAAGAAGGACATGGAGCTGYTGGAGCAAGTCCAGAGGAGGCCACARAGTTGACAGGAGGAMKGGAGCTCTTCCCCTACAAAGACAGGCAGAGAATGTTGGGGCTGTTCATCCTCAAGGTTGTGGAGAGACCTCACAGCAACCTTCCAGTGTCTGAAGGGGACAACAGAGAGGCCCAGGAGAGACTCTTCCTCAGGCACTTCAGTGATGGGATGAGGAATAATGGGTACAAATTGAGAGTAAAAATTTAGGTTAGTCATTAGGAAGACGTTCTTTACTGTGAGGGTGATTAGACACTAGAATTGGTTACCCACAGAGGTTGTGGATGCCCCCAACCTGGGAGCTCAAGGCTGGATTAGTTATGGCCTTGAGCAACCTGGTCTAGTGGGAGGTATCCCTGCACATAACCGAGACTAAGTAATGTTTGAAGTCCATTCCAACCCTTAACATTCTGTAAATCTATGYATAGTTTTAGTTTTGTCAGGAATACCTTTAAAAATTTTTCATTCTATCTTCCAAATCACTAGTCATCCATCACCTACAAGCTGAGTAACATCAACCATGTACACGAGCAAGGACAATGTATTGGCCAAACCCAAACTGAATTTCTTACGGAGCATTTATGAAGCATCTGCCAGTTGGACAGACTCAAAGGTTACAAAAAAAAAAAAAAAAAAAAAAGCCAATACAATGGCCACTTCCTCTTTATTGATTATTATTAAAACCAAAAGAAATTGGTACATGAACAACTGGGGAATTGGTCACAACAAGGTAGGAACAAGGTGGCAGATGCTTGATACTGATGCTAAGAAGAGAGAAACACATAAGGGCACTTCTGTGATTTCTGCTCCAAAAACTGCACCTAAACTTGCAGAGTTAGACCTCATCCCATTTCTAACATGTACAYTCAGGTCATGAAACCCAGGAGTGARCATCATGATATACACTTTCAACTTTCTCCATGTGGCAAAATGCAAGGCTGCTTGGAGAAAAAAAAAGCTTTTGAGTGTTGATCCCCCTGTCTTCTAAATACATACAAAATTTGCAACATTAACAAGCTCACCAGATGAGAACAAACTTCATGCATGCAAAGGTCATAAAATAATACAAATATAGACAAGCTCTCTATTGCTAGCATACATAAAGCTCAGAACAAAGATTTATTTAAAAATACACTTTATTTACAAGACATTCAACCTCCATTTTGATAAAAATATAGCTGTACATAAAACCTCAAGTCATTTTTCACTAATGGTTAATAAAACCACAGTGAGATTCAGCAATCATGGGAATTACATTTTGGCACATCAAATCACATAAGGAACAGAAAAACTGGAGGAAACCTTTAAGCAACACAGCTCCATAAATGTAACAATCTTGTACATGATATCCTCACATCAAGGTATCACTGCTCAAATAAARTATTTAACATAGAAAGTGCTTCCACTGCACAACAGAATAAGTAGTAGAATTAACAGGAATGTTCATAGCTTTTGAATTACCTTTTACCAGCCTTTCCTCCCAAGATGTTAATGAATGACCAATGAACCCTCCTGATTTCAYTATATCTTCCCAGGTTTAGAAACCAACCTTTTAAAAAAAGTTGATTCAGATAGGGTATTTATAAAGGATTTAGGTGTACATAAACATATGTGCACATATCTCAGGATGGCTACTTAGATAAATTTCTACACAGACCACAGGACACAAAAGAGTCCTTGGAGTAGCTCACATCAAGCCATCCACAGAACTTGGGTAGTGAACTTCACCTGGGGAAAAATTCAGGTGTGGACAAGTTCTCTTCAAAGTTCAGTACAAGAGGGGACTAGTCAGGACAGGAAGCATTATATGTAATCAGAAATGGGAGAGGCAAATAATAGGAAAAACTGTGGGTCAGAAAGTTGTTTGCAATTCTAAGGTGTGTCACATAGAAAAAACAGAAAGTGGATATATTTTAATAGAATGGAGTGCAAAAATTAAACCAGTGCATGAAAAGGTATTTCTGAACTGTATTATTGGTACATCACCATGACCAGACTATCAAAGCCATCCTTATATTGAAGAGACAAAAAATAAGAAAAACTGTAAGAGGGCAAAAACACACACTGAGACAAAGTATTGTAAAGAATACAAAGAAAAGGAAGTCAACTAAAAACTGGTAAAACAAAGGCAACACTCATGTAAATAGTAGCAATTTTCTTTATAATGAAGACCAAAGGCAGAACCTGCATTTAGAGAATTACAGAAGAAGAAAAGTTAAAAACAGAATTGACACTTTTGACACTTATYAACACGTGACAAATAATTGAGTCCCTTTAAGAAAAGGCACATGACTGATGAAGGCCAGTAAATTCCTTTTGCTTTCAATGTCATGTTAACCTATCCCAGATTTCACTTTTACTCCAGAACAATCTGACAAGACTACCAAAGGTTCCATCATCATCCATCTAGGTCACATGTATGACTGGCTATGGATCACATTCACAGGCGCTGGACAAACACTTGAAAGTCACACACAATTTAAGATTTCCTTTGCCACCAGCAGCAGTGGACAGAAAGGGACGATCACTGAGACACAACCCAAATGCCGTAAGAGACAATMATAAGGCAGTGTTTGAAGAAGACACAGCAGCACAATCAACCTGCAGTTATCAGGGTGGGAAACAAAGCAATTCAGCTAAAGAGGCCAGAACAGAGCTTTGATGACAGTGCAATAGAGTGCAAAACTGAATTTAGAACAAGTGCCAACAGATGCAAGCAGACACAGAAATATACTCTGTCTCAAAATGMGAGAAGCCTGATTCAACAGAATTAGAAGAGATATGCCAAGGACTGAAGGGAAATAAACCAAGACAAAATACACACTTATTGGAATTAAGTCTCCCACAGAAATAGAGAAGGGGGGACACAGTCCAGGAGAAAAATATGTTGTTACTCAAAGGAAGGTAAAGATACTGGTCAGAAACCTTAACTGAATACCCAGAAAGTCCCAACACAAGAAAAAAAAAAAAAAAAAGGGCAATATTTATCTCATAAATAACAGTTCTGTCTGTTGGTTTTGCTTGCTTAAGTAATAAAGAAAATTTAAAATCTGTTTGTTTTCTAGATATGAACATTTCTATAATCGGTGGTATTTTCCCATTTATTCACAGGCAGCAAATGCAGTACATTCAACCAGACAAGAGCAAAAAAAAAGTTTAAGAATGTCATTTCATTGTATTTTCAGGTTACAAGRTTTGTAAAAGTTTTAAAAAACACATAGCCACGGTTTTAACACTGGAAGAATAAAAATTGTCCATTTTGACAAATGCCCCAACATCACACCCCCTAGTTTTCTTTAATCCCAAAGTAAATACTGCCATTCCAACTTTCAACCATTTAATAAAATGCATATATATATATATATATACACACATACATATATATATATACACATACAAATTTAAAATTACCTGATTTAAGACACAAATGCGTAATTACAAAAGGTTGCTTATTTTGGAGGATATCTGGGAAGAAACTTCTCCCATAGACTTCGTTGTTATTTTGGGAGCTTTCTATTCCAGTTCTCAAAGACATGATAAATATATTTGTTATTTACATCTAAACATCATCATAGACAAAAACAGAGGAGAAAAAACAAAGAACAGAAGAAAGGACTGTCTTACTTCATGACATATGCTTTTAAAAGACACAGCAATTCTTACAGCTTTTCCTGATTTACATTAACTCTTGAAATAATTGCCAAGCACGATCCTGCTGCTGCCAACAGAATCAAACAGGCTGGAGGATCAAGCTCTTAATTACATTAACAAAGAGGTTAATTTATATAATAGAAACTTACAATGAAACAGTACAAAATATCTTAATTCACAAAAAAAACCTGTTTGAAAGGAATAATTACAATTCAAGAAATGCTCTATTTAGACTGGTATCACTTCAGTAAATACCACATTCCAAGCAGTAAAATATCCTGCTGTGTGTTTAATATTCATTGAATTATTGCAATCATCTTTATYAGTAAGGAGTTGGCTGCCTTTTAGCCACCCTTACAAAGAGGTCCTGGTGTTCTCCCAGCCCAAGCTGGAAATCAATTTGCCCTTTCTGTTAAGGTGCCACTGAGGTAAAGACACCACAATTTTACAATGGTGTCCTTGTGAATAAATGGATAAAATAGCCTGTCCAGGACACACAGAGCATGGAAAGGCTGCTTTTGCCAGCCAAATGTGTTTGGAATCCTCTAGATCTGATCTGCATAGCCAAGGAGACCGAGYATTCAACTCAGTGTAGAATGGGTAGTGGGTTTCCTCTCACAGAAGTCGGTGGAACACACCTGACTAAAATCTAACWCTGGTGACAGAGCACAGCACCTTGTTTTCCTTGGAGCACCCTTGCATGCCTTCAGACAGAGCAAGCAGCAAAAAGATAGTGAACTGCTTCACTAAATACACTTTGAGATGCACCTTTGGGCAGGGGGTGAGGGGCAGAGCAGAGGGTAGGGCTCAGACCTTTAAAACCAGCCAACAAGAAATAATTGAGTCGAAACCAGGAAAAATTTCCTGGTTTAAATTTTTTAAGCTCCCGCTAAATGATAATACTGCATACGAGACTTTAAAGGTGCTTCCTTAATTCATATAATATTAAATTATGCCTAGATAATAGAATTGAAGTACTTCAACTGTTCATAATAAACACATTAGCTTATTTATTCAGCATGAATAATGACAGACTCAGTGTTAAAGGTAATACAATCATCCTGCACAATGAGGAAATAAGACCATGGCTCTTTAAACTTGTGCTGTCAGAAAAAGGATAAAAAGGATTTTTGAAAAGACTGAGTTGTACAATCACAACAGTGAACAAGATAAAAGCTAATTAGATGACTGCCTGCATTTCCATTTGCTAGAATCAGTACAGACAACGTTAGTAGTTACTTATTTGCTTTCATGACAAGCAGTCTATGCCTTAGCACACTCATYTGTGATTAGTCTGGACCCTAGCATTACTAGAAGAGAAGCAAGACCAGCTGCTGCTCTGCCCCTAAATACAGGAGTCAATCAAGAAAACACCACAAGCCAAAATTCCTGAGTGCTTCCCCTTACACATTCTGAATTTCATTCACAAATCTCACTGGCCAGAAGTGTTACTGTTAAAAATGAACTGTCCATGCAAAAAATGAGGTTTAAGGATCAGTAAAGAATCTCTACTGAAATCCTTTATAAATATACAGTACTTCAGCCCAGTACATCCATTAACTGGCCACAGGGCTTTCCAGAAACAGCTCACTTCAGCAGGAAAGGCCAGAGTTTCCTCCCCAGTGCTACTGGCCATGAGCTGCAAACATCAGCGCAGACAGAGAGCAATACACCCCTTCCACATTAGGATTTCACCCTTAGTTTGGTAAGGAACCAGATAAGGCTGCATCACAAAAAAACTTAGACTAATGCGACAGCCTTGGTGGAAATCCTAATCCTTATTTCAGGTACAAGGGGGGTTTTGTTGTATTTTGGTTTACAGCTAAAGCACGGAACATTTTGCCACACCCACTTCAGCTAAAACCACCAATGTCCCCCTTCCAGCCAGGATATGTTTGCTCCATGAAAACACGACACAGAGCAGAGGGAATTGCTTAGAATTGCGTGCTGCCCGACTGTGATTTGTCATCGGACACGTCACAGTTTTTCAAGTTTTTAACGCTCTCCTCTGCCACTGGGTCCTCRATAGGGATTTCAACGTCACTTTTCCTCGAGCCATTGTCTTTGTGCCTTGAGGAAAGATACCTCTCACTTTTCTCCACGTAGCCATTGGTTTTAGCCCGGGGGGGCTCCCTCTGGCTGCAGCACAGCTGAGAGTCACAAGCTTTTGAGATGCAGGGCGAGCTGCACAGTAGCTGCGAGGCCTTGGGGTCAACGTACTCRGGCTGGATGGTCACAGAATGGACTCCTGCCTCGTGGAAAACCTTCCGGATTTTGTAAGCAGCATCCTGGTAATCAGAAGGGGTTTGGCACTTGATATGAAGAGTGGCAATGTTCTTTCCGCTTGCAAGCTCCCAAACGTGCACCTCATGAAGGCTGCTGACCCCTGGCACACGAGCCAGTCTGTCAGCTGGAAGACACAAGAGAAAGGTATGAGAGGYTTTGTGCACTGGTTAATTATCAGCTGTCTCATTAGGCATCCTATCCAAAAGCAGAGRTGTCCAAACTATTTTAAAGAAACACACTTCTAAAATATGTCTACACCCAGCTGCCTTCAGTTCAGYCTCCAGGTGACTGCATGAACTCTTCCTTTAGGATTCACCTGTSCCTCAGTCACCCTAATGCCAATTTACCAGCTATTTATAGAAGAAACATTACAGGATCACTTCCTCCATCAAGAACCCCCATCTTCTGGTTTCTTTAAGCTCTGAGCATGATGGAAKTCTAGAAATACCCAGTGCTACTCCACTAGTAACTAAAGTGAACAGCACCTAATAGCTACAAAATTGACCAACCTTAATGGAAATTTCTAAGATGTTTTGGAGGCAGCCACTGCAGGGCTGGAAAATATGGCAATTCAATGTGGTTTCTTTCACAAATAACCCACACAATGCATTAATAGCTCAAGACCTGCTATGTTTGATGTATTGTTGGGGTACCRCATTCTCAAAATGCATGCTTCAACTAATCCAGAGAGATTTGAGTCATGTTGCTAGGACACAGGCATGTGACTATTTCTCACAGTTCTTAAGAATTTAGAGCTATTATRAGTAAATAATCCAAACATGTCATTCCACAAATAACACACGCATTGAAATAYATAATTAAAAATTAACAGCATTTCAACAACAAATGTGACTTACTCAGTAGTTGCATATTGACACCTTTGGGGACCATCTGCAACAAAATAGTTGAGGTCTCCTTTATAAGTGGGAATGCAGAAGACAGGATGATGAGCACCATAACTATTGTCAGGCTTGGATCGATGTAGCACTGCCAATTACACGGAGCATCCCCCAGAGGACGGACATAGAAGATTGTAGCAGTAACTACCACCACCACAGATCCAAGTGCATCTCCCATAACATGCAAAAGAACACCTGAAACAAATGGCATGATTTCCATTAGTGGGGTGGGTTTGGGGATTTTTGCTTTGTTTTGGATGTTTTTCTGGCGGGACGTAATGCTGTATTTTTCAAGTATGTTCTACTTGACATGTATTCCAGCCATTAGAGTCAAAACCAAAGTTTTCAGTAGCACCTTTTGGAAAGAAAACAGCAAGGGAAATACTGACTCTGAAGCACTGCTGTTTAGTGGGATGCATTATTAAGCATGTAGGGTACACTAACACTGCCGTCCAACTGCAATGCCATGGCAACACAAAATGTGTTGGCTTAAATGCATGAAGATTATTAAGAGAGCCTGGCACGTTAAATCTAAATTAAAAACTGATGACTAAACCTATCCATACTACCCTGGAAGCTGAGAGCCACAGACCGCCCCCAGTAACAGTCACCCACCCCCAGCAGTTTGTACGATGCTCCAGAAATCTGGAAATTTGCCTAAGTGAAACCTAAGTTGGCTCTAAATACCCTCGGACTCCAATTTTGGATCAAGCTTGATTACCAGTCTTATTAAACCTAGTCCCTACAAAAATCAGAATCTGGCTCTAGAGTCAGTCACATGGTTTAGTGCCTGGACTACTCTAAATTGAGAGGAATGCTGTGTAACGCTTTTTACATTTTATAAAGATGGTTTTGCACAAAAGGTAAAAACACAAAACAGGTTTTTAGAGCAAATTTTTACTGCTCTTTAAACTGCAATGACCAAAACAGTCTTTCTGCTACAGAGTTACAATACTCCAAGAAGACCCTTTTTCTTCTTTTTACTACTTTACATAAACATCCCTCTTTCCATCCCTGCTCAAACACACTCCAGTTTTGTTCATTTTTACTGTTCAGACTCAGATGTTATTCCAACCCATGCCCAAATTCAGAGCATCTCTCTATATATGAAGTAGATTTCTTTGTCAAATCTTTTTATTTGTGGGCTGTTAGAGAAGAAAATGAACCGTCTCCTTTTAACAATCCTATCACATACACTTTCAATTGCTTCACTGCCATTTAATCCCTTCCTCTGGGTTAGAGAAGCTCTAAAAGGCTCCCCCAAAACTCATTAACAACACAGCAAAGAGTTTTGGTGATGCTAGCTACAGGATTAGCCTAGAACTGTGCCCAGGGTGCTGTTTCTTGCCAGCTCTGTACACGCACCTTGGTCTGTGTGAGAAATGAAGGTCACAACCTCTGGATCTCCTCCAAATCACTTGGGTCAGATAAGAAAGTACAAGCTCCTGGYGAGTCCAGCTCTTTCTGCTGGAGTCAGGTATGTTCTGCCCCATTTGGCAGGCTACCATGGGGTTTTACTCCTCCTAAACACTGTTGCAGTGTTTCCTTTTCATTTACAAGTAATCCTGATTCAGCACGGGCTATCAGCTGTTGCACTAACAAGAGGGACAGGCAGGATGCAATTGCATTGCCCAGGCAACCAACGAGAGAGCACAGCTTAGAAAGAACAGGAAAATGTTTCAGAAAGCCTTCTTTAGAATTCAGAAAAAAAGTACGTATGTCAGAATTTTGATGAATTAGTAATTGAGAATACAGAATTTRAAAAAAAATGCTTATTTTACATTCTTAATGTCATTAATATGTACWTCTTGGTAATGCATCACAGAATTAGGACCCAGACAGAAGTGAAACCATTTTCCTATCAAATCCCAAAAACTGTGATTACAAGCTGAAAGTGAAAATGAATTTTTACCAAATGAAATCAGTATGGTGAGACCATAGGTAGAAGTTTCCAACAGCTTGCATCAGAAAGTCTAACCAAACCACTCTGCATATGCTCAAGAAGTGAAAGGAATAATTTCACACTACAGTARCTAATCTTGCCAGGCAGAATTTATGGATTCCTGTTTCTACCAGTTTTAAAAATCAAAGAAGCCATTCCTCTGCCAATCCATTTTGTCCACCCGTGTTTATTTCAGGGAGGCTTCAATTCCACAACAAAAGAATTTTTTGCCAACTTTAAAGGAAAAATACACATTGAATCAGAATTTTAAAGACACGGGTCTTTAGACTACAGAAGCAAGGAATATTTATAAAGGCCRTAAAAAYAGATTTTGCAAAGGTRCCATACTAAAGYAGCACTTTAAAAAAAAWYYTTTTAAAAATCAAAGATGACGAGTACCTTAAAAAATTGCAACAAAACTCCTTATCCTTCAGACATTTTTTGAAAGCTTCCAACATCTTTATACCTGAGCATTGTGGTTCAGGCAAGCAAGGCCTTCTCTAAAGTGATTGGYTCCTTACTCTTCTCTCCTCCATCCCTGAGGGTGACAGTTTGCTTATCCTGCTCCAATCATCTTACCACTATAATGCCATTGTATCCAGTGACATCAGCTTTTAGGCATTCAGGGAAGCATTGTGGCTCTAGAACCTGGTTTGATCTTCCAAAGCATCTTCCCTTACAGATGCATCTGTGTAGCTCTCAAAAGCTTTTTGGAAGACAGATAGACACACACACACACACAAAACCCCAATAAACCCAGGCCTGTGGCCTGACTGCCAGATCAAACTCTAAAGCTGCACTCTTGCAATGCAAACTTCTACAGACTTGGAGGAATATAACATGCTGATAGATGACCATAAGAAGCCTGAAACTACTGATCCGATTCATGTTTCTGACAGTTCTTTCCTTGGGTACAAACTCAATATTTCATCCTCAAAGATATCTGCTTTAGGCTCTGCTCAGAGCAGGTACCTCAACGTGTATGCATGGAAACACCTACACAGACAGGGAGAGACACATGGGTAATTTATTCCTAGGAGCAGCTGTACTGTTTCACTCCACAGGTTCCCAGAAACCTGCCAAATTACAATGTAGGAAGGGCTGATCCTGTCAGACTCTCACAGCGTTGGGCTCACAGTTCAAAGGCCTGGAAAAATATCACATTAAAGCACCAATTTCAGAACTTTTTCCTTATGTTGGCAACAAAACATTATCAGTCTTGTGATTTAGAAGGATTTCTGTTTTCTGCCCAAAAGCATTTTAAAGATGAAAATTCAACTACTACCTGAATGATACTCAAATATGCACCTCATAGCTACCTGTAAAGCCTCATACCTTCTTGTAAAGCCTCTAATGGCTTGAGCTTAGTGCAATAGGGTTTGCATCCTTTCCAAATGTKCAGCTGTGCTCTTCTAAAGAGTAAAAACCAAAATGTGAGTATACTCAGAGCCAAATCAGCTTGACACTACTTCATGCAACCAAAACCTTTCTGTTAGAGATAACGGAGTCCAATTACATAGAAGTGTCCTGGACTTTTGCTCCCTTTCTCACTCATATTTGTGTGTGTGTATAAGCTAATCTGAAATGGAACCCATAAAGTGTTTGAAGTTAATATAACATTAGCAGTAGACTCCTATGTCATACCTCTGATGTTCAAGGCTTCAGACTTTTTCTCTTTTTTCTTCTGAGACCCCTCTTCAGGGCATTTTTGGTCATTTGGTGAATCACCTGCATTCAAAGAAGAAACGCTGTGTTGTGTATAAGTTCTACAAACAGAAAAAACATCAACCTTCTCAAAACCAACTTATTTCAAAGATGACAAGAAGAAAACAAAAAAACACGGCAAAACATTCCCCACGCAGCTCCCTGAGCAACGCCTCCTTCCCCCCATCACGAGAGGACACCCAGCAGCCAGGGGTAAAGTACAAGGTGAAAGAGGCGGCAGGTGTCTGAGTGAGCTTAGTGAAACCCCCGGGGCCCACGGGTGGCCTTGGGGCTCTGAAAGAGCTCCGAGGATCGGGCCAACAGCTCGGCGGATCCCGAGGGAAAACCAGGGGGAGACGGGGCGTGGGGAAGGATGCGGAAGGTTTAGAGGGATGCTGAAGGGAGGGAGGGGTGGGGAGAGACGCGGGACACCAGGGGAAGGCGAAGCGCAGCCGAAAGGCACCTGCTTCATCCGCCTCGCCGTTCGGGGTGCCACCGGGCACATCCCGCAGCGCGGCGGCGGCGGGCGGAGCGGCGGACGGGCGGCGGCGGCGGCAGCAAGCGCCCCAGTCCTGGAAGACGAGCAGCCCCACCACGTTGACGGCGAGGCCGAGGGTGCCGACGATGAGCACCAGCTGGGCGTCGTCTATGGGCTCGGGCCGGGCCAGGCGGAGCACGGAGTCCACCAGGATGGTGAAGCAGAGGGCGGTGAGGAACACGGCGTTGCTGAGCGCTCCCACCGCCTCGGCGCGGCTGTAGCCGTAGGTGGCGCGGGGACCGCGGCTGCTGCGCCGGGCGATGCGCCCCGTGGAGAGCCCCACGCAGAGGGAGATGAGGTCCGAGAGCATGTTGAAGGAGTCGGACACCAGCGCGATGGAGTTGCCCAGGTAGCCGGACACCAGCTCGGCCACGAAGAAGCCGACGGTGAGCACCAGCATGAAGATGAGGCGGCACGTCTTGCCCGAGTACCGCCCCATGGCGGCCGAGCGCTGGGGCTGGGGCCGGGAGCGCTCCGCGATAGCGCCGGAGCAGCGCCGCCGCCCGCCCGCAATAAGTGCGGCCCGCCCGGCCCGGCCCGCAGCGCCCCGCCCGAGGGCACCGCCCCGCCCGCCCCGCCCCGGGCACCGAGAGCCGCGGGGGGACAGCGGATCCGCCAAACGAGCGATAAACACAGGACAGCTGCGCTCGGGGCCGGCTGGAGGAGAGCCCTCCGGACAGGCAGAGCTGCTACCAGCGCTGTCCTGCCTGCGCTCCTGCCTCCCCGAGACCSTCAAGTTCCAGCCACCGATCCGATGATTACGGTCCTTTGGTGCTTTATTGGCGGYGTAAGTGCCAAACCAAAGGACAGAGTGCCATCTACTGTGCTGAGCCAGCTCTTTTCCAGCCACCAGCCTTTAAAGAGGTGTGTCAAAAAGCCGAGCGCATCCTGGGCTGCGTCCAAAGCAGCGTGGCCGGAAGGTTGAAGGTGATTCTCCTCTACTCTGCTCTGGTGAGACCCCAGCTGCAGTGCTGCCTCCAGCTCTGGTGCCCCCAATATAAAAAGGACATGGAGCTGCTGGAAGAGGCCACAAAGTTTGACAGGAGCACCTCACCTGTGAACACAGGCTGAGAATTGTTGGGGCAGTTCATCCTGGAGAAGAGGAGATGGTGGAGAGACCCTCATATCCGAAGGGACACTGCAAGGAAGCCAGGGAGGGACTCTTCATCRCTTTATTGATGGRACAAGGAGTAATGGCTGCAAACTTGAAGAGGGGAAATACAGGCTAGGTATTAGGAAGAAATTCTTTACTGTGAAGGTGGTAAGACGCTGGCACAGGTTGCCCAGAGGAGCTGTGGGTGCCCCATCCCTGGCARTTTTCAAAACCAGGTTTGATGKGGCTCAGGCCAACCTGGGCTMATGGGAGRYRTCCCTGGCCATGGCAGGAGTTGGAAYTAGAGGATCTTTAACATCCATTCSAACYAYTRACRTTTTATGATTCTGTAAAAGAGTACCTTAGTGTACACCAATCTATCACTATCCTACAAGAAAAATAATTTAATGCATTTTTTAAACTACAGGACAGTCTACAAGAGCCAGGATTAGGGAGTAAACCTCTATCTTGTATTTGTAGAAATTTTTTTGTTGTTGCTGTCATTCTGACAGTTCTTGGGAAAATGACAGCCCTGCTTGCAAATGGAAGAAGGACAGAGCTGGACTACTAATACCTCATTTCAAATTGATGGGAATAACTAGAGGAGTTACTGTGAAATCAAGTCACCCTATCTATGAGGTTCTCAATATCAGAATTGGGCCCAAAAATCATAAATAAAACACGTAAGACAAAATTATGTCCTTAAAATGTTACTCTGTGAGAGTTTGGAACATCTCAGTCATGCCAGAGGCAATCCAGTACTGAGGTACAACTCACWCTGAAGTGCCACATCACACATTTCACCACGCTTGACAAAGCACCCATTGCTGGGTTTTAAACCAGAAAGACCAAGGAACACTATCTTGTCCCACCTACCTAAGGCAGTGTTCTCTACAACCAGAAATTCCTTAAGGAATTTCCTCTTTGTTCTAAATCTGAAGAAATTTCATTGTTACTGCTGTTGCTGCCAGGAATTAATTCACAACTCCCAATTAACCAGAGACTGCAATATGCAAATTAAYAAATGTATAAAAATACATGGATTTAAATGAACGTTACCATAAAAACCAAAAAAATCAAGGGAGAGGATGGAGTAACTTACATCAATACACATTTCAGCTCTAGAATTACAACTACCAGATAGGATAAGAGATTTTTAATGGCTGTGGCAAAGCAAAAGCAGTGTGACATAGGTAGAACAAAAGGAAGTTAAATAGATACAAATTTTAAAATTACTATGAAGACTSTATCTCCTTAAGTGTAATTAGTGATAGAAAATTCTGCCTCTGGCACTTTGCTTACAATCAAAAAAAAGACAGCTCTCTGAAGCTAATTGCACCTGCATTGAACTAAAAAGAATTTCCAGTGACTTTTCTTTTAAGAAAACGTATAATGCAGTAGCTGAAACATCATTAATCCGCCTGTGCAAAATATACATCAATTGTCTTTGGGAAAAAAAAAGAAGTCTCATAGACCTGAACTCACTTCAAAACATAAAAATATCACAGTTATTTTGAATAAATAGTGTTAAAAACATAGTTTTACAGCAAACAAGGCTGTGACTAAGTCCTCTGACATAGAGCACAATCACAGCTTACTCCCTGAAGGTGTCAGAAAGTGTTTGTGCTGAGAGCCTCAGCTCTGACACTGTGTCTGCTGATCCACTGATTATTCCTTCTGCCAAGCTCACGCATCTCAGCCTGCTTGTCACGATACAGCCACTCACTGACACAGGAACAGAGCAGTGTCTGCTGGGTCACACCACAGATCTGTGTCTGAGCTGTTTCCAGTTCCCATCTACACATTTTGGAGATGAGGGAACCAAACCTTCACAGCCTTCAAAACACAGGCCAGCCACAGATACAGAGGAACAGCCAAAGTCCTGGCTGTCTCCTTTACTCCTTTTCCTGTATGGGCTCACCTTTGATTCGCTTTTCTGTTCTGCACATTCAGCACACATTTTTATGGAACTGATCATTCACTCCTGTGTTCTGTTTCTCACCCTCTGTCATAGTTTAAGCCCAGCTGGCAACTCAGTGCCACACAGCAGCTTGCTCACTCTCCCCTCTCCCCAGGGAGGAGAATCAGAGAAAGAACTAAAAAACTTAATGGGCTGAGATAAGAACAGTTGAATAATTGAAACAAAGTAAAAACAAACAAACACCCACAAAAACCAAAACTAAAACAAACTAAAGAAACAAGTGATGTACAACACAGTTGCTCACCACMCTCTGACCAATACCCAGCTCATCCCTCAGCAGTGATCAGTGGCTCCTGGCCAACTCCCCTGAGTTTATGTTCTGAACACGGCTCTCTGTGGTGTGGAATATCCCTTTGGCCAGCTCAGGTCCTGCCTATCCTGGCTGTGCTCCCTCTCAGCTTCTTGTGCAGCTCCTTGCTGACAGAGCATGGGACACGGAAAACTCCTTGATTTAGGGTAAACACTACTAAAAAACAACTAAAACATCAGTGTGTTATCAACTTTGTTCTCATACCGAATCCAAAGTGCAGTGCTGTACCAGTTTCTACGAAGAAAATTAACTATCCCAGCCAAAACCAGGACATCTGACCAACTCATCATCCATGCAAGGGCCTTTCCCCTTCCTCTATGGCTACTCAGAAGCCTCTCAGAAATCAAGCTTTTGCTCTTTCTTTTATTCATCCAAGCCTCCCTGTCCCTCTTCATCCAGGGCCCACAAAGACGAGACAAACAACTCTTGAAACTGCCATGTGAACAAAGCTACGCTAATCATTTTCATCCAATAAGTTATTACTTTCAATAACAAGAAAAATTAATTCAGGTCAATCTTCAGAACAATGTGTGTGTTATTCCTGCAGCTTTTGTACCTTCATTTCCTTCCACATAGTCCAAACAAAAGGCACAATCCTGCACAGAGGAGTTACTGACCCCTTTATCAGTGTTTTCACTCAGGCTCTTCCCCTTGCTGGGCGCTGCCATTCTGCCTGCACCAACCCACCTGCACTGTCAGAACATTTGGTATCAAATCCTTCTAGGAAGGAACCGTGTTTATGGTTGCTTTGCAGTGTGCTTGGCATCCTTGTGTGTTTTGTACTGACTGCAGACATTCAGCAGTAAAATGTTATGGTTTTCCTTATTTATCCAATCCTGAGATTGGTCTGAACAAGCTACGTGCTATTAAACAGAACAAGCAACCTAAATATCCCAGGCTTTCTGTTTCTGACTATGCTTAGTTGGAACAAGTTCTTAGGAGGTTCAGAAAGGGCTGTCCAGCATCTTACCTTTCTGAATTATTTGCCAACTTTAGATTCAGCTACAGTCCTGCTAGAAAAGCTGYAGTTTCCTCATCCTAATCAGGAGCAGAAATTAGAAAAATTCTTCAGAACTCCTAAAATTATTACAAACAAAAAACTTTCTTTCTGAATTCCAAAGATGCAAAGCACTCCTATAAGCTTCAAGATCTCTGCGTACCACGCTTTCAAAGTACTCAACCTCCCAGTTTTTAACACTGAGCCATTGGCAGCCAAGAGGCTGTCCTCACATGTGGCAATAAGGGTAACTCAGGTAACAGYAAAAGCAGACTAAGTATATATTATACTTTCTCCCAATACCCTTTCATCCTTCAAGTATTTTCAGCCCAAGTGAATTTCCAAGCTAAATATCTGTATTTAGTAGCCCTCAAGGGATTTTTCTTTCATGCCCTAGTCCAGCCTCTCATTCACCAGTGTAGATTTCAGTGTTAACTGGAAACAAGCTCCACACATCACTCTAACAGTGTGAAAAACCATAGCACAGTTTAATTTGGAACCCTCCTGCCATTGGCAGAGACATGGGAAGTTTGCTCAGAGCCCCATCTRAGCTGGACAGGAACACTTCCAGGGATGGGTCATCCACCAACTCTCTGAAAAATGTTCTCCAGTACCTCACCAACTTCAAAGCACAGAATTTTTTTTTCCTGTTATCTAACCTAAACCTACCTTCTGCCAGTTTAAAGCCATTGCCCTTGTCCTGTTACTACTTGCCCTTGTAAAAACTGCATCTCCTATTCTCTTGTGGGCCCCTTTAGATAATGAAATGCTTTAGGGTTTCCCTGGRACCTTCTCTTCCCCAGGCTGAGCAGCCTCAACTGTCTCAGCCTGTCRCCTCTTTCTCCTTGTTTTGATCCTGGGTCCTGCTAGCTTCATCTAATATATTCTTATTCTTGTTTCAGAGGACAGGACAARCATTCAATGGCTACTGACCCTCCCTATGCCATGTTTAGTTTTGCAGACCTGTGCCACATCCTCCTTAAGTTACTGATTTTTAAGGTGACAGGTAAAAATCTACTTAGCTCCTTCCAGAGAATCATAATCAGCCCTTGAAAATAGGACATCTCTATGATTTTGAGATATGACAAGAATAACAGCAGTAATGATGGTAATTGTCTT